AGTCACGAACGCGCATCACAGAACAAAGCAAGGCGACCATTTGTGCTTATAAAACGTAAACTTTTTTATTTATTTTTGAAATGACCGATCGTTTCGCTATTTCGCTATATAAGAACAGTGTGCGACCAAATACACAAAATGGCCACTGCCATTACAGGAAGTGAAACCTTTACTAAGGACAACAGAGCTCTTAAAGGGGCCATGAACTGGCTTTTTAAATTTTATTATATTGTTTTCTGAGTTGAACTTATGACATTTGCTTGGTTTTTGCATTCAAAAACATCAAAAAATGAATAACTAATAAGCTATTTTCTACCCTAGCTTTGAGGTTGGGCGTTTCGCACTGAAGACTTGGAAGTAAACGCCCACTGCTGTGAGTGGATAACAGTTTTGCATATTATAATGAGTTTTTCAACTTACCTCGTCGGTGTACGTGGGTAAAACTGTTTTGGAAACGTCCAATGTTATAAAATGGCAACGTACCGGAATGATTCGCCCAGACATGTTCAACCCAGAGTCCGTGTGTTGCACAATTCCTGTCAGATCCAGACGGCACAGCACCGTTCTTTACTCTTAATCGGTCAGCAAATCCAGTCTTTTTTACAAAACAATCCTCAGTGAAATGAAGCGAACAGATGGACAATGTTTTACCTCATCAGCTGAAGTGGAACGTTATTAAACATAAAGTTTATCCATGCAGTCCTATTGAAATCCAGAGGAAGCTTATGCAGCGACTGTCTTCTTCAATCAGGCACTTCACAATATTCTGTATTGCTCGGTAGCTCGATCCGGTTTGTCATCACAAGGTAGGCCTAAGTTAGCTATGTTTAGCTATGCTTGTAATGCGCGAATCGGTGGGCGGGGCTAAACCGGCCATGTTGAATGAGGCGTTGATCCTCTTCTGCGGGGGTGGTGTTTTATCCTCTTTGACGTCATAGTTCCCCACTTTTAAAAACGAGTCGTTTGCTGAGGCTGGTGTCAATAAAAGCTTATAATGGACTAACAAGGACGTTTTCAGTTCTGAAACTTACAGAATATTCTTATAATGTGATTACATCTTAGATGTCATAAGCTCAAGGAAAATTTGATTTCTCAGTTCATCACCCCTTTAAGTGTTGAGACAACCAGCCACTTTTACCGACATCAGTGGTGGGACCGCCAAGCTGGATGCCAGTCTCACTCGCATAGTGCCCACTTTAATGGCTTCATGTGCAACATTCATGACGGCTTGAGACTATGCCAAACTCCAAGGTCCTGTTTACTCCTGGTATTAAGATACGTTTTGGTCGTTTAGATCACAAGTGTACAAAGCTAAATACAGGTGTAAACAGGAACTAAAATGCTTTGAGCTTGTCCACATTCGGTCACTTCCAGAGGTAGTCGAAAACACATTCGACTGGATTGTTTTCGTGGTTTAGAAGTTCATGTGTTCGGATGTGTTCGAACAGCCACAAATGATGACCGCCTACTCTGTATGACTTATCATTGGATGTTTATAGAATTTAAAATGCTTTGCATTTTCCTTTGTTCTTTGCTCTGACAAAAGTATAGTTACATTTAAATTTATTTATCCTGAATATTAGAAATATTGCTATGCACAGTTTCACTCCTGATCCATGGGTGCATCTTGCCAGCATTTGCCAGTCACTTTTATTCAAAACAACGTAAATTGCACGGAAATTGCATATGTTTTAGTTTAGGCATTCTATGGGAATCACACCTATTAGCTGATTCCTGACCGATCAGGATCTGTATTTCCTGGATGTTTGACTGTTTTTGTGTTTCAAAATACTTTGCATAAATGATCTAACTTTTATTTATTTTGGAAAACAGCTGCATGAAAATTATTTTTAAAAACTGTTCTAACAGCATAGAGGTTTGGAATGGCATGAGGGTGAAAAAATAATGACAGAATATTCATTTTCAAATGAACTATTCCTATAAAAATAGCTTCAGAAGAGCTCAGGCTATTTAAGTATCCTTAAACCAAAACAAAAGAGGTGATATTTGAAGGAACCAGTCAAGTTATATTTAGCAATAATATCATTATCAGCATCTCAAATTTGTCAGTACAGCTCTTTTCATCCTGTGCGAAACTGTTTTCATGTTTCTTTGGTTTCTGTATGCTTTGGTCACAGAGAGAATGATGGGAATGAATGTATGCGTGGCGGTGTGGTTTTTAAAGAGAAGGAGCGAAGCAGGTGGAAGCCTGGAGCTGAACAGCAAAATGGGCCATGAAGTCTTGTGGGAACTCACATAACATCATCCCTTTGATCGCTTTCCTTATTAGCATCATTTCACACCACAAGCCCAACAATGAATACTCCTGCAGTGCTATAGTTAACAGTGGGCTTCATTAAAATGTGGTTATTGAGACACTCATATTTGATTAAAAGACACATACGCAAACATGTTCAAACGACACAAAACATAGGCTGAAATCCAAATGTAGCTTTTTATGTTTTTTTTTCTTTTTTTTTCTGAAATCCCTACCCACAGCCCTTCAACTGGCAGTGCCATTTGTAGAGGTGTTTCACGTACGGGAGGATGATTCGCTATAAGATTTTCCTTTGCCAAATAATAATATTAATAATACAATAAAACAAATCACAAAAATGACCACTTATGCCATTCCAAATGTTGTTTTGATACAATAAAAGGGAATGAGTTTACAGTTTGTTTTAGTTTACATAATTATTTGTGTCCACCCCCATTTTCCTTAATCAGAGACCAGACTGAACTACTCTAGCAGGAAGTGTCGATGTCGGGTAAAGCAGAGGAATTCAGTCAGGAATGAGTGCAGGTAAGAAGTTGTCACAGATGGCTCCACCAGTGCAATAGAGGCAGTTGAGATTGTTAGGTGTGATCGAATTAATGTGGGAGTAATGGGGCGGAAGAAATCCTTGCAGCTGCCCCCTCGGCCCCCTGGAGACAGTCCCACTGCCACCACGAGGCCATCAGACCTGATGATGCATGCTTGTTGTTGCCAGACACTCACACTTTAAACTGAATCTCTGGGCACACACTCCTTTGCAAGGATGGACTTTCACCTGAATAATGTTAGTGCTATAATTACTATCATAAAAGGCCTGAAAATTATTTGCTTATTTGCTTGTTTATCAATTCCAACTTCATTTCAAACCTGCCTTTGGCTTAGCCAGATGCATTTGCCAATGCATATACATCTAACGCACATGGCAACCATTTCAACCCTCAAACCTACCCCTGTTTCATGTACTTACCTTATATTAGCCAGTACTTTCTAGGTAAGTCAACGCATTCTCACCCCAAGGCGTCACCTTTGACCATGCTTCAATATTTGACGTTTTAGGCGCCCTTTAGCGTCACTTACATGACGCGATCCTACGGCGTCATCTAACTGACGCTAAAGGAAAGCGTCAGTTAGAGGACGCGGTTAGGTTTAGGTGTGGGGTGGGGTGGGGGTAGGGTACACGCGATCCTAGGGCGTCATCTAACTGACGCTAAAGGGCGCCTAAAGCGTCAGATATTGAAGCATGTCCAAATGCTTCCCAAGGCGTCAGTTAAGTGACGCCTTGGGGGTGAGAATGGGCTGGGTAAGTACATTGTAAGTACTGTACTGTAAAAGGAAGTGTTGCCGAAATGTTTGTTTGGTAACGCTTTAGATTACAGCCCAGATAGTACTGTGTAATTAAGAGGAATTTACAGTGTAACTTTCTGTAATTATAGTGTACCTATAAAGTACTTACATGTACGTATATGGTATAAGGGAACAATATGTACAGTTTGGGGAATAAAGGGGTAACAACCAGGAGAATTTAAAAAAAAATTATACTCTAAGGGGCACTTTTTCCACTATTTATGATATAACAATCTTACATTTGGGAGCAATCTAGCGAGAACATTCACTGCGTACCTTTTTGTAGCAATTGTGTATCAATACATACTGTAGGCTTTTTAAAAATGACAGGGTACATCTATGCATTTATTTAAAAAAACAACATTTTTTAATACACTTTATGTGCAAAAGTGCAGATGTGCAGATGTTTATGTTTGGGCTAACATGTTTCAAAGCAAGAAAAGCTAAGTCTATTGTAATTTTTTTTAAATATACTGGGAAATATATCTGGTTTCATGTGGTTACAGGGTAATTGGTGCTTGTATAATAAATAAAGGTTTCTGAGTCAGTGGTATAAGATTGTGTGTATGCATTTTTATTGTACTTGAGCAAGAGGGTAACAAACACCACTTTAATTTACAGCCCGAAATGCCACACTTAACTAACATGAAACAAGAGTATCTTTCCCCATTATTTAAGCAAAAGTTGCAATAGTTTTCATTTTCAGTGCACTTTTGTTAAAAAATATTACTTTATAAATGCATAGACCCTGTATTTTTTTTTCAAAAAGACTGTACAGTACTGGTTCACCATTATTTCAAAAAGGTATGTTCTTGCTAAATTGCTCCCAAATGTAAGATTGTAAATAAAAGATCCGTAATTGTAGAATAAGTACCCCTTAGTTCTATAATACTTACATTTTTTATTCTCCTGGTTGTTACCCCTTTATCCCCTAAACTTAAAATATTGTTCTCTTATACTTATATTGTAGCTACGTTATAGGTACACTATAGTTACTGAAGTTTACGCTGTAAAATTGCTTTAATCACGCATTACTTACCGGGCTGCAATCTAGAGCGTTAATTTTAGTTTTTGTTAAGAATAACAACAACATGCATGATAGTGTCAGGTGTGGTGGTGTAAGGACCAAGGACTCAGGTGCAGGGTTGATGGGCTTTTAATGATAATCAAATAAAACAAAGCAGTCAACAAAAACTACCCCGAGGGGGAAAACAAGACGGACTTGAACGACTTGACTGAAGCACACGGCAGGGAAACACACAGTGTAGGGACTACATACAAGGGAAAGCAAATGTGGTAGTCAAGCTTGTTACCTTCCCTTATAATTATATGAGGATCGTAGGCTAATTGGCTGTCGCCAGGGGGATATAAAGTGCGACAGACCTGTGTGGTACGTCAACGTCATTTGTCGACGTCACTGACGCGCCGCAAACACTTTACTGTGGCTGCTTCCTGCATCAGGTGTGGACATTAGAGAGGTGAGAACGCTTGGTGACTTTGAGATCGTTGTTTTAAATTTAGTAATTAATGTTCCCGGGTTGCGTGTGTTTTCTTTGCACCTTAGTAAGATCTTGATTGCCATTTCCTCTCGTAAAGTGCGAGTCAGCTGTTCCGTTTTCATGCGGACGCACTGTTGCGGTGACTACCGTTGTTGGGTGTGTGCGCTCCGATTATGCACGCATCATTCATCTTCGGTATGTCTATCAAGCGTTTACTAAGTTCCGGTGAGGTTCTATAGTAGTAATATTAAATGGTGACATTCTATTTTATTCCAGGGCTCTCCCTAAAACGTTGAAGAGCGTAAGCTGATTGTCATTGCCATCCCTCTCGTGTGATTCAAATCAACGGATTCGTTTCTCCTGTAGATCTGGCGCTGCTGGGGCTGCTAGTTGGGCGCGTTTCACGTCCTGCCCATGGATAACATTGCTGTTTTGTTTGGTTTTGTTTTGTGCTGATTTTGATTTACATTTTCTATTTTCTTTTGGTTAAGTCAGCTTTATTTACGTTTGAAAATACGTGAAACTTGTTTTTTTTGCCTTTGCATATCCTGATTTATTTTTGCTTTCTATTTTGTAAGAACTTTATCTTTTTCTTTCTGGGGGTTGTTTTGCAGTGTATTTACTTTGTGTGGTTTATTTGATTTATCTTATTAATTGCAGCTTCATTATTCTTTTGTATTTTTTTTGTTCATTTTCCTGCTTAGTTAATTAGAGTAACCTGATTTAGATCAGTTTGGTTTATTTTTCTGTACCCCGTTAAACCCAAGTTGCTGTATTCCTCTGTTTACTGTTGGGATCAATTTGGTTTATTTTTCCATATACTAAGACCTTATTGTTTTGTTTTTTTTGCATTTCTTTAACTCTTTTTTTTTGGTTGATTTATTTGTTTAATTCATGATTTGTATTGTGTGGGAATAAGAGGCCCTGTATATTTCTTTCTTTTCGTTAATGCTCATTTTTGTATTTTTTGTTGTTAACTACATCCAAATCAAGCAATTTCAGTGTTTTAATAATTTGGTGTGCCTGTGAGTGACTCACATTAAGATTGGTTTTGTTCTTGTGCCGCAGGATCTGGGGCCAAAGGCAGGGGGGGCCGACTCTATTCCCTCAAAGTGGTGGTGGTGTGTTCACAGTGTGCCGTGTCCATCCGTGGAGTAAGGTGTGAGTGCGTGTGTTTGTGTGCACTGGTGCAAGGAATGGTTTTCTGTTATAAACAGTCTAATCCCCGATAGCCCGACCCTGCTGGTAAGCCCCAGTTAGCTGGTGTTTCTGTGGCCCTTTTCAGAGCCGAATCCTTTTGCTGAGTGATGTTTGACTGATGCCTGATTTATTTTAATGGTTGTTTTAAAATGATTGTTTAACTAAATAAAGTAAACTGCTTTGTATTGTTACCCGTGTCTCTGAGCAATTATTGATGAACGAACTTGCGTGTCCTGTTAGAGACACTAAATTCTCTGGGTGTAACTCCCTGAGTGGCGTAGTTAGCAATCAAGTGCACCTCTGGGTTGCCACATTTTTGGCGTAGTCGGCAGGGTTCATCTTAATAATTTGGCTGAGACATGGGTACATTTTGAGGTTTGATTTTTGGTTAATTTGTTTTTTTTTTTCAGTTGTCTGTGACTTTTTGTGTTTGAACAGGACAGCAGTGTTTCCATGGGTGGGTTATCCTCTGTAAAATTCTTGTGAGATAGCACTCGTCTTTGGTAAGTTTGCTTTATCTCTGTTAAGATGGAGGCTGAATTGCAGGAATTGAGAGAGCTGGTGGCTCAATTGAAAGCTGATAATGTGAGGTTGCAGCAGGCTCAGGTGGCAGTTGAGCTGCCTGATGCTGCTACTGCTAGCACTGCTGCAGTACCACCAGTAATCCCTCAGTCTTCTGTTGCTAGCTCCTCTGCACCCGAAAGGTTTGTTTTTGTACCCCGAGACCGTAGATGCCCGAAGTTTAACGGTAAGACCGGCATAGGTATTGACGAGTGGGTAGAGGAGGCAAGGGCCTGTATGAGGATACGCCATTTGTCTAATGCAGATCAAGCATTTTTCCTGTTTGACCATCTGGAGGGAGAGGCTCGTGAGGAAGTTCGTTATCGCTCTGAGATCGAGCGTGGAGACCCTGATAAAATTATTTCAGCCTTGCACGAATTATATGGCTGCTCTCAGTCGTACGTGGCTTTATAGGAAGCCTTTTTCTCCAGAAGGCAACTCGAAGGGGAAACCCTTTTAGAGTTTTCCCTTGCTTTGATGGGCCTTCTGGAGAGGGTCAAAAGTCGCGCTCCTAATGTAATTTCCAATGGTGAGATTTTGTTGCGAGACCAGTTTGTAGAATATGTTACGGATAGTTCATTGCGGCGTGAACTTAAACAACTGGTCCGTCGTCAACCCACCGCTACACTGCTTGAAGTTAGAGGAGAGGCGATTAGGTGGGAACGAGAAGGAATGCCTGGTGGGGCGAGAGGGCGAAGTCATTCTATGCCATTAGCTTATGGCGTCCAGTATGGCGTGCGGGGTGGGCCTGTTGTGGGGGCTGAGAGTTCATCACAGCAGTCAGAGTTGGGTGAACTGCGGGATTTATTAAAACAACAACAGCGGCAGTTAGACCAGCTTACCCAAAGTTTCGCCCGTTTGCAGACTCCTTATGTAAGGGGTCGATCCCCCCGTTCCGGCCCTGTGATTTGTAGACGTTGTCAACGACCCGGACATTTTGCAAGAGATTGTGCTGGGGAACGACTTTCCCCGCGTCCTATGTCACCATCAATGGGCACCAATACGATTGGAAATGGACAGTCTCGTAACCCACAAATTCCGGGAAACTAGTCCCCGCCGGGCTGTCGAGTCACAACCCGGTCGGGGAAGAAATTGGCTCAAGTAATTTAGATTTTCCCCGCTCATTGTCTCATCTAATGTCATCTTGTCCACATCTGATTGTTTGTATGGGAGGAGTATCAGTACCGTGTTTAGTGGATACCGGTTCTATGGTATCCACATTTACAGAAAGATGCTTTCTGCAGCATTTCGAACCTTGGGGTCAGGATCGCCTTAAATCTTGCCAATGGTTACAGCTTAGGGCAGCTAATGGGCTTACGATCCCATATGTTGGTTACCTGGAGCTTGACGTCAAGCTTTGTGACAGGGTAGTTTCAGGATGTGGTGTGTTGGTCGTCCGAGACCCCCCCGGCGGTATGTGTAGGGATGTTCCTGGGGTGCTGGGGATGAACATACTAGGCCGTTGTTATCAGGACCTGTTTGGACAGCATGGCACTGCCCTTTTTGAATTGCCTATTGTTGTGCAGTCCCCGAGTGTTCTGCAAGCATTACAACATTGTCAACAGGTGAGTACTAAGAGTTGTTCAGATCTTACAGGAAACGTACGGGTACGGGGGCGTCAGGTGTGTCGAATCCCTGGGGGCACCATGAAGTTGATTACTGCCACCTGTTCTTCCCAGTATTCTGGCTCTACAGTCCTGTTTGAACCCCCTGAGTCAGGTTTGCCGGCGGGGCTCTTAGCATCCCCTGCACTAGTTAGAGTGACCCATGGTACAGTTTGGGTTCCTATTGTTAATGTGGGCACTGTGGATGTGGTATTGTATCCAACAACTGTGATTGGTAGTTTGAGGGAGGCTTATGTCATCAGTTTACCTACAGGAGTTGTGGAAGTTGACCCGGTGGTCGCTACAGTCCAGTCTCTTTTTTTGGAGACAGCCTCTCCGCTGGCTCAGCAGATTGAGGCCGTTGATTTGTCTGTTTTGTCAGAAGAGGAGCAAGTGCAGGTAAGGGCGCTGCTTCAGAAATATCAAGTGGTGTTTTCAGCTCACGAGGGAGATTTAGGCTGCACTCGTCTAATTTCTCATGATATTCCCTTACTGGATGATACCCCTGTCAGGCAGCGGTACCGACGGATACCTCCGTCAGATTATGAAGTGGTTAAGACCCACATTAATCAGCTACTGGAGACACAGGTCATAAGAGAGAGTAGTAGCCCGTATGCATCCCCCATAGTGTTGGTTAAGAAGAAGGATGGTAGCCTACGCATGTGCGTAGACTACCGTCACTTGAACGCAAAGACCAGAAAGGATGCGTTCCCATTGCCGCGTATAGAGGAGTCTTTGGATTCGTTGACAGGGGCTCGGTGGTTTTCAACATTAGATCTTGCCAGTGGGTATAATCAAGTCCCTGTCACAGAACAAGACAAGTCTAAAACTGCTTTCTGTACTCCATTTGGTTTATTTGAATGGAACAGGATGCCCTTTGGTCTTTGCAATGCGCCCAGCACTTTTCAAAGACTCATGGAGAGGATGTTTGGTGACCAACAGCGACAATCCTTGCTACTTTATCTCGATGACATAATTGTATATTCTTCTTCAATAGCTCAACACTTGGAGCGGTTGGAGGTGGTTCTGGGCCGCTTGAAACAGGAGGGACTTAAGGCAAGACTTGAAAAGTGTGCGTTCTTCAGACAAGAAGTAAGATACCTGGGGCATGTCATCTCAGCCGATGGGGTGGCCACTGACCCAGGTAAAATTGAGGCTGTGGCGCAGTGGCGGTGCCCTACCAGTGTTTCTGAGTTACGAACGTTTTTGGGTTTTGCTAGTTACTATAGGCGCTTCGTGGAGGGGTTTGCCAAATTGGCTTCTCCCCTGCATAAGTTGGTAGCTGAGGTGACTGGTGGTAAGTCAGGGAGAAGGAAGGGACAGAGTCTGGCTCAAGCGTGGACTGATCAGTGTCAGGAAGCATTCGAGGGTTTGAAGAGGAAGTTGACCATGGCCCCAGTATTGGCTTATGCTGATTTTTCTCGCCCTTTTATACTGGAAGTGGATGCCAGTTATGGAGGTTTGGGAGCGGTCCTCTCCCAAGAACATCAAGGTAAAGTACGTCCCATAGCATACGCCAGCCGCAGCCTAAGGCCCACTGAGCGCAATATGTCCAATTACAGCTCCATGAAGTTGGAGTTTCTTGCGCTCAAGTGGGCCATGGCTGAGAAATTTAGAGAGTACCTTCTCGGCCACAAGTGTCTGGTGTACACGGACAACAATCCCCTCAGTCATTTAGCTACTGCCAAGCTAGGGGCCACGGAACAACGGTGGGCAGCTGAATTGGCAGCATTTGATTTTGAGGTAAGGTACAGGTCAGGAAGGAGCAATCGTAACGCAGATGCTCTGTCCAGACAGGATCCGACGGCTGGTCACATTCCAGAGGGTCTGGTAAGTGGTAGTACTGTTCCAGCTTCATTGCATCAGGCCATTAGTATGGGGCGGTTAGCACAGGCAGTGGTGTCAACAATGAGTGTTTTGCCTGGCTATTCGGTGTTGGATATATGTTCCCTGCAGGAAGCGGACCCAGTTATTGAGGTTGTGAGGCAGTTTTGGGAACAAGGAAAGCGTCCAGGGCCTGAGGAGCGTAAAAAGTTGACTAAGCCAGTTTTGACCTTGCTCCAGCAGTGGGACCGTTTGGTACTGAAAGAGGGAGTACTATATCGCAGGATTTCTCGTCCTGATGGAGGTGAGGAGGTTTTTCAGATGGTTTTACCAGATGTGCTCAGGCGGGAGGTTCTGACTCAATTGCATCAACAGCATGGGCATCAGGGGATCGAGCGAACTGGTGAACTAATACGGCAGAGATGCTATTGGCCTGGTATGTCGGCTGACATTACTCGTTGGTGCCAAGAGTGTGACCGTTGTGAACTTGCGAAGGACCTTCGACCAGCAGCTCGTGGCTTTATGGGACACTTGTTGAGTTCTAGACCCAATGAAATCCTTGCAGTTGATTTTACGGTGTTAGAGCCTTCCTCTTCAGGACAGGAAAACGTCTTGGTAATGACCGATGTATTTAGCAAGTTTACCATGGCTGTGCCAACACGTGATCAGCGAGCTGAGACTGTTGCCAGGGTGTTGGTTGATGAGTGGTTTTATAAGTTTGGAGTTCCGGGACGCATCCATTCTGACCAAGGTCGTAATTTTGAGTCGGCTCTTATTCATCAGTTGTGTGAGTTGTACCAGGTGAAGAAGTCGCGTACTACCCCCTATCACCCTGCCGGTAACGGTCAGTGTGAAAGATTTAATCGAACCTTGCATAACTTGTTGCGGACTTTACCGAGCTCTAGAAAGAGGGAGTGGACCGCCTGCCTGTCGCAAGTGACCTTTTGCTATAACACTACTCCTCACCAGGCAACTGGAGAATCCCCTTATTTTTTAATGTTTGGCCAAGAGCCTCGGCTGCCCGTGGACTTCTTGCTCGGTAGGGTTACTGAGCCCTGTGTAGGTAGTGTGCACAACTGGATCGTGGAACATCAGACGCGACTACAGGTTGCTTTTGAGGGAGCGCATGAACGTCTGAAAGCCGCTGC